CATTGTGTACTATATCAGATAAACTTATCTATTACGTAATTACAGTCCAATACAGTGTCCAAGTTCTACACCTACACAAAGGAGTATTCGCTTTAACCGTTAGTTTAGAAACCACTTCAGCACTTCGGAGTGCAGTTCCTCAGGCCTTCATCAACCTCATTCAACAGCAATGTGAAGTAAAGACAGAGATAAGGCCGATGATATTCATGTTGATTGTCGACTGGGTTGCGAAAACACTGAGATACGTTGGATTGAATAGACTGTATCACATCTGAACTTCTAGGAACGACACGCATCCGGTGTAACAAAAACTTGAAGATCTGCAGGCAAAAACTATCAAGTTGGCAGAAGAAGCAGAGAAGAGAGGGTTTCGAGATGACTCGGAGGAGACGGTGGTGGTGAAGATACCTGACAAACAACGGTAATCACCGACCACCATCATCGGAGAGGAATTTCGGAAGTAACTTCTTCCACTTTTCTAGGCATCATTCTTTCAAATACAGGCTTCACGGATGAAAGTATGAGAAACAGGATAGACTTTCAATAATCCGAAACCGGTATTGATGTCTGCAGCAGTCAGCATGAAGAAGATCATTCGCATTTCGGATCCAATGTCCAGTTGATTCTCCTGTACGGTTAAGAGACCTAGGGTATCATCAGAATCATTTCCAATAGGCTTCAGAGTTTCCCTAACAGCGTCTCAGCTGTGTGCCGGAGATTAGATGGCCCAAAAGTGTGAGAAACATGGAATTCTGATATTATACCTGTTGAGAACTACCTCCATAGATGATGTGGTAGCAGATTGGTGTGGATGGGAAAACCACTCGAAATATCTTTGAGTGACTTTGCGTGCACTCCCTTGAGTAAAACCTGGATGGAAAACGGCAATTTGAGCGCCCGAGATCGTATGGGAAGTTGACAACTTAAGAACAAACGTGGAGCCAGCTGAAGAGGACTGCTGAAAACAAGATTTAATAGAAACATGCTTTTGAAATCCTATGTCTCACTTAGAACAAGAGAGTATTATTATTGTTTCCCTTGATTCCTACAGGGACATAGGTTTCAGCTTCACGCCTCCATTGAGTTCGGTTCTCCCCCAAATGTTTCCACCTGGCTCCACGTCTCCATACACAATAATAATACATCCTCATTTTTGTACAGTTTACAGGCATCATCAATATGACAAATTACATATACGATTAGTAAGCATAATTAGTAATGATAATATAATAAGGTACATATTTATCTCTACCTATGTAGGACACACCAGTTTGTATAGGCATGTATAAGTATTATTTAAATTACATATTTAAATTACGTGGTTGCTGTCTTTTTATCTTAAGCTTGTGGGAACGATCTGATAACTAGTGATTCAATGGACCACATCAAGAAATATAGAGATATTGTCTTCGCACTAACAAAAGAAACTCAAGTATGTGTTAGGTGGACTGCAGATACTTGGGAAAAAATAAGTCGTTTCCATCATATAACAAAGAAATGCATCCTATAATAATATATTCTCACTTTATGTACATGCGAGACGCCAGTTTACAGGCATCATCGAGCGACTTTATTGCTTATCCCCTCAATGGCGCTTGTTGCTATGTTGCTATTGGTTTCAAGTGCCCTTGGTTTTGGGGGAAGATTTAACTGATGTAATATTGTGATTTCATAGACATAACTCAGGCTCATACATGAAAGAAAGTTATTATCCTGTAATAAGGAAAAGTTGTTCAGAAGGTAAGGAGGACGTTATTTTTCAATATGACAATAATGTATGTATAGGGTAAGCATGTTTACAGCTTTTCACTGACTCGGGATACATATACAAGGGAAGGTAATGCAATAATGACAGTAAGCACACTTTGCATAAGTTAAAAGAACTGATGTGATATAATCCTAGGCATATTTATTGTTTCAGTTTGTCGAGAATGCGCGTAACAACTGAGTGTTGCGTTACATGTGGTCGATATGGTGGGCTATTCAGAAAAGTATAAAAATGGCTTGCAAAACTTTAGTTTACCGACAATGTTTTCAGTAGTATCATCTGCAAGAGGCTCACCACAGATATGACGAAATTAAACAATAGTGTCCTAGGAGTGCGAACTCCCCAGTGACCTTGAATGCATGCTAGTCGTTTACCAACGGCACCTGTCATTTTTGTAGCTGAAATATCAACGCCATTCACCAACTAAGCAGCAAACTTCACCCAGATCACTTTATTAAATACTGTTTGGACAATGTGTTAATAGCTTGTTAGGGTTAGGATTAGGGTTCGAATTGCAGTTCGGATAAGGGTTGTGTGTAGGGTTACAATTAAGCTTAGTGCTGGTGTTAGGGTCGGGATTAAGGTTAAGGTTACGATTAGCGACAGATTTGTAGCTGACACAATTAATTTTAATTTGTTTTATTATCCACATTTTCCTTGTAAGTAGTCGATCCTCTCACTGGAAACCATAGTAATTCAACCGGAAGCTTTGGGAGGATTGCACGACAGGACAGAAGAAGTAAACGATTCACAAACTCAGCTCGTCTTCAGTCACCTCGGTGAACACATGTACGGAAACTAGTCTAGCTTAGAAACTGATACTCTTCACTGTAACTGGGATGTATTTTCAAGCAATGTCAGTGAAAGATAATCTGTTTAGTGTGTTTTCATGCATTCTCTCTCGCAAATATACGTCATTTTTGCGAAAAATTCCTCACTTTTAAGATTGGTCAGCTGAAGGTCACCCATGCGTTCGCACCACTTGGGAAACTGTTCTTGAACTTTGCCACAGATGTGAGTATCCGTTTAAACATGCAAAGAAGTATAAATGAATCAGCATAATTAGCCACCAGTGAATTTTTGATTCATTTCTGTCAGGAACTCGAATGACTGTGAAATAATTATGAATTTAGAACAACAGGTCTCTAGGCAGGGACTCAGCCAATAAATGAATTAACTGTGATGTTTTGACATCCAGTAATTTAAGAGATTTCGGCCCCATTACAGTCCGTGTCCACTACGAGCCTACCTTATCCTGACTTCCGGCGAATATCACAGGTTTTTATTTCGCCAAACGATGTTGCATTTAACAGGGACTCTGAACTGGACACGGATGCAGTGATCGCGGCGTATGCATTTCCCAGATGGCTTCTTAGGTGGGTAAACAATGAGGTGAGATAGAAAGCATGTTTCAGTATATTTACAAAAGGAAACGATAATGTAGACACATACACGTGGCCGATGAAGCACGCGTGAGAGAAGATAATCCGTGTATCACAAGCTAATATTAAAAAGTTGCTTACTCCAAGTATGGCCTCTGACTGAACTAGTAGTCCACCTAGGTGCACATCGTAACAGACCAACTAGTACTAAGTTTGATTCTGCACTTCCTATACTCATCAGGCAACCAGGATTTGTTAATGGGATGAATGTCATTAATGGGCGCTCTAAATAATGCCACCAGTTTGTGAGGACGCACATTACGCTTCATGGCACTTGCTGTGGTATTCTTATGCGATCTGATTTAAAATCATAATTTGGCGAGTTTTTCTTCGGTCATAAAATTTACTGTTATGTATATACAGATGCCAAAGTATGTTTTAAGACTCAAGGAAAACTAGAATGACCGCTGTTTGATCCTATCAGGAAGTGTTTTCGCCTATGTTTTGCTGCAGGAAATATGGGGGTTTCTAAAATGCACCTCATCAAGTCAAAATACACTTGAAATCATAACGTTCTTGTACAGTTTCGCCATTTCAGAAGTGTGAAAATCATGTAGCCCAGTGAGGACCTCATTCCCGAAAAATTGTCTTCACAAGTACGCTAGAAATTACGAGTGCATTTTATCCATCACTAACTCCTTTCAAACCAAAGAACACCCATTCTGTTACATCCAACTGCCATCCTAGTCGAAATTAGACAAGGGAAATATTCTGTGACCAGCCTTTTAGTGATGCACTTGTACGTCCCGAAGCTTGAGAAAATTTTGGTTCATACTAACTACACCATACATTGCTGTCTTGTTTGCCTTCTTAATTCCAATAATTAAACGAACCTGGTTTGTGTGGCCTAATCCATTTTCTTTTTTAGGCAACATGATATTCAAGAAGACTTGACGCAATACATTAACTCCAAGAACAGAGGAGGCTTCTAGTGATAACTTTATGTAGTATAAAAAAGATTTGCCAGACTATTATTTACTCAATGAGGAATGCCATAATACTTTGAATTTCAGTGTTTAGAGCGCTTTAACTTCCATATCGACTAATAAGTACATTTGAAAATGTCCATGATTTGATCCACCGACCAAATCGTACAGCCGGTATTAGAAAACCAAAATGAAAGAGCGAGGATAGACCATGACAACGAATTGTATCACTTGAAATCATGAGAAGAAATTATGTTTCTCAACAACCAAGATAATGAATTCATTCGATGAATCCCTTGGAAATACAGCGAAATCTTTAAGAGAAACTTTTAAAGGGAATGTAATAAGAACAATTCATTGACTACTTGGGCTACAAAGATATAAGTCATATGTTGTGAAATAGATTTTTTAATTTTTAAGACATCATCCGAAATCTTCGTAACCTATTTTTCACAGAAGTGACTATGTTGCACTACTTCATCTGCTTCGCTGATCAGTCCCACGGGAAACGACCAAATTAGTGAAGAGCAGGAGAAATCTTGTTTCTTGAGGAAGAATAGGCAACATACAGAACTGACGGTCAACTACAATGTATATATTCAGCACTTATTTTGATACATTAAGCAGATATTCGTTCCCGTTATACATTTTTCGGTGAAAACAGGAATAAAAATACGACGTTTTAACGTCTGTTAACTGAATCAGGCTGTCAATGGTGTTTGTTATTAGATATATTGTTTCATTACGACTTAAATAATCAGTATTAAAGTAAAGGCTGAAGTGAATTCGCCTTATTTTCACTGCGAATGATGATGAGTTGTGAAAAGTGGGCCACATAAATAAGTCCAATTCCCTCCCCTAATAGTTTTTATGCGCATGCGAAACCGCGCCTTATGAAATTATATTTTGTTCTCGCTGTTTGTAAGTGAGATAAATGGGAAATTCTCATTCTCCGAAGAAGTGCATTTCCGAAGAAAGTACTATTGCTTTATTCACGAAAAATTTATTTTCAGTTGTTGAATACCTGGAGACAGCCAAGAGAAACTATCTTGAGAAATATCATAATCCAAGAATTGTAAGTTGACAAATAGTATTATTTTCAAAGAGACCTGCTGCCTTAGATGAATTCAAACAGCTTAGAACACTTGGAACGGGATCATTTGGTCGAGTAATGTTAGTTCAGCATAAAAAGTCATCCGACTTTTTTGCTTTAAAAATACTTGATAAAGCCAAAGTATGAACTATTATGCCTTGAACGATTCCCACTCTCACAGATAGTGAAGCTTAAGCAAGTTCAACACACCTTAAATGAGAAGAGGATTTTACAAGCTGTCGATTTCCCTTTCCTCATTCATTTGGAATACAGTTTTAAGGTTTATTGTATTCCATATCATATTGAAATTCAGAATGAAATATACTTATTTTTAGGACTCGAATATGTATCCGGTGGTGAAATGTTCTCATATCTGCGGCGCAAAGGAAGATTTAGGTTAGCCTCACTTAGTAGTTTAATGCTTTCTTGTAGTGAATCTGCTGCACGCTTTTATGCAAGTCAAGTAATACTGGCTCTAGAATACTTACACTATTTGGAATTAATATATCGAGACTTGAAACCGGAAAACATACTGTTGGATCCCGCTGGCTACATTAAGGTGAGAGACGTTTTTGATATGTGAATGTTTAAATATTTTTGCATACCAAATACTTTTAATTTATTAAACCAACTCATTCTCATAGATTTTAAACCTGATTATTTTCGATTATTAAGTCGCCTTTCATATACGCTCCACAAATACTGGCGAATCCTAAACATAATGATGTTAGGTTACCGGCTGTTTTGATTCAGCCACGAATAGTTTCTGCAGGCATCTTAAAATGCGTTCTCTCACTGTCTATGTTCTAATCAGGTTTTTATCGTCTACGGCCTACGTTGATGTGGGTGTCTTTTAAACTGATTTTTCCTCAGCTAACAGGTATTTTTGGTTGACTGTCTGGTGTTCTATTTTATATAGACATTTGTTTGTTAATAAGGAAGGAATATAGAATAGCTTTATCAATTTGAACAATTTACATTCTACATGGCAAGTAGATTCAACAGTTACACAAAACTTAAATGTGAGGCGAATGTTTTCGAACAATACATTTAAGCTGGCAATACTGTTTTCAATTAGATATCATCAGACTTGACTCTGATATACATAACTTCACAAATAGATATTTAGATATATAGTAATCATTGTGTTTTGTCAATAGGGTAGTAAGGTTGTGCATATAAATTGTGCAGTTACTCATAACAATAGTAATGATAATAATAGTGGTTTTTCAATAACAAGGATGAAAAAGTGGGGCGATCTGTGATAACAAAAATAACGTAAGCAGCATGATTAAACAAGTAAATATTCCAGTAGAAGACGTCGACAAACGCTAAGAAAAACAAATGGACCGACTAAGTAATGCTGAATTGTAGTGGAAGTGAATAAAATAAGTCTAACTGAAGATGTGATAGGATTAAGAGAAGATAAGAGAAGAGGTGGAATATATATGTAAGGCGTGATGCAGAAATCATCATTTGGCTGAATGTTAATAAGCCAAGGGAGGAATAGTGCCCATATGAACATCTTTTGAATGCAAAGTTTAGGCTTGATGTTTTGAATGCCCATCGCCCCAGGTGTGTGCAGTAGACGAATACGATGTCTATCGGAAAGATTCGGTGGAAATGCAATGAATTACCTTGAAAGCTTTCGTCTTTTCCACTACATGACTACTATCAACTAAATGTGACAAAATAGATGTACGGATTGTTTTTGTTTGTCCTTTGCTACGATGGGGGATATTCAGTAACGCGTTGGTTAAGCTGTCTAGTAGTACACCCAACATAACTGTCACCGGAGGTGTAGTTGAATTGGTAAATGCACATGGATGTGACAAAACTGTCTAGTTTACCCTTTATTTGCGTCGCAATCATTCGTCGGCTAGAGAATAATAAACATAGGTGTGCTGCGTAGAAAGTTCTTTGTATGCTCTCGGAAGGTCTCTGGAATAAAATCTCACTTGAAGTCACCATTAAATTGTAACTTAATAAATAGAGGCTTTTCATGTGCAGCCATAATCTCCAGTTTTCTCTCCAATGTTTCTTTATGAAACTAATCGGATAGCCAATCTGCGTCAAGGAATCATGAATATATTCAAATTCATTTTGTAAGTGGTCATCCGTACATATCTTTCTTGCTCCGCTCGTAAGACATTTAACAACATTTCTTTTATACTTAATGGGCACATAACTAAGGAAGTGTGTATTGCCATGTGAATGTGCTTTTCCTATACACGCTTCTCCCAAGTGTCCCATCTTGCCTACTTAGCAAAACGTCCAGAAAATGTAGTTTATCCTCCTGCTGCTCTTGACAAGCAAAAATAAGAGAAGGGTGGATGTTGGTGAATTTCATCAACAATTTGTCTATGTTTGCATTCCCATTAACTAAGACAAATGTATCATTGACATAACGATGATACAGTTCCAACTCCTTGACGATGTCTTTGAATTTCCCATTTCCAAGTTTTGCGAGGAAGAATCCTTTACACTATACCGTCAATTACCTTCATTTTTATCTGCTTAGTCTTGTTTTACGTATAAATTATAGGTGTTCGAGACAAGTGAACCTAAAAAAACTACTTGTAATTGCTGACATCAAATTTTCGTCAAGTTTGAAGTTACTAGATCATTCCAATCTGCATCACACGTTATGCGATTTTGGTTTTTGAAGTGGTGATTGAAGTCACGTCAACATAGTTGGTCTCTTCCTTCTACAGAAACAAAATTCTTTGAAGTGCTCTGTAGGATAGTACCTAAGAGATATAACAGCAGTAGAAGCATACCATGTAACTATTTATTCTTTCGCTAAGAATTAAAAAATAAGTACGTGAAAACATATAAGGGTATACATTACAACCACATTCACTCCATATACTTTGAACAGTCTCTTCATATATTCCGTATTCCGGCACGTTTGGCATTATAAGTGTTAATAGGATAAAAATACTGAGTTTCATAGGAAGTGCCATAGGATTATTTACCGACCAGTTTGTTTAATTTTCAGTCTTATAAATATTTAGTTACGTATTCAGTGTGAAATATTTTTGTAAATCGGGGCTGGTAACAGTGGCTACATTTATTTCTATGTCAAAATATTCTGAAAATTTTAGGAATTAAGACAATAGTCTACGAGATCATTTGTGTTCACTGTGGGTATAAACAGACATAAATTAAAATCAGTGACTGTCAAGTTGTATCCTTTGCAAAATACTTCGTATATAAGGAAATATATTTGCTGCAGACCTAAAATTTTGCCCCTTAAAACTCTTTTGATTACCTGTGTCACACCACCCTCAAATGAGATTAAAAGGAAACATTCATCGTCAAAAGTTGTTAACTTCTTCATGTCCTACACTTTCAGTAGTTATGTCTCACAGCCTTAATAAAGGATGGGGATAGCTACCGTGCAGTACACTCGTTGGCAAATACCACCCCATAATTAAACAGGATACAAGTATGCTAATGTCGACCATTAACATCTTTCGTTCATCGTCATGCGGCTCCATAGGCGCTATTATTATCAGTATTATTTTCTTGAGTTCCTAGTGTAACATAGGGTTTCAACAACACATCTCCACTTTGTCCTATATTCTGCCGTCCTGCTCAGCTTAAGCCACAGTTGCCTGCAATCTCTCATCTCCTCACACGGTCTTCTCTATGTCATCCTAACACCGACAACCCACTCGTCGCTTCCCATTCGGATTCCACTCGAGCGCTGGCCTGGCGCGCAATGTAATTTGACGGCCTCCACAACGTATGTCCGATCCTTTTCCATTTTCTCCTACATATTTGTTGAGCGATCTGCTCTTGGTTGGTTTGTTCCCACAGTTTCTTGTAACTTATTCTTTCTGGCCATTTGATCTTGAGTGTGGAGCGGAGGCAGCTGTTGATGAAAGTCTGCAACCTGTTGGAAATCCCTTTCGTGACATGCAGTGCAAGTTTCTGACCCGTATAGAAGAACTGACTCACTGACTTCACATTTGTGTTGAAAATCCGAATCTTGTTCTTTAAACTGAGGCGGAGTGCAGTGCAGTAGATTTCCAAACTGGTTTCAGGTTGATGAAACCGTGCGTATCTTACGTTACCGATTCTGGCTGGTTGACTTTCACATCCTCATACGTCCCAACTGCCTATAGTTGAGACGATGCTGGCCTTCTAGATAAGTGAGGGCAGGAAGTAACCTCTGTTAAATCTCTCCCCTTAATGCTGATTGATTCCGGTTGTTGTTGTTGTTAAGGTTCGTTAGATATCTTCATCACCTCTGTCTTCTTTATGTTCGCCTGCAGTCCTGTCTTCGCTGCCTGCTTCTTCAGCCAGTTTGTTGGTTTTCGCCTGCCTGTAAGTCTCCGAGTTTGTGTAACATTAGATAAATATCATCTGCGAAATCCAGATTTTCTAGAGTCTTCTCGTCGGCGGTCCATCGTATTCCTGTCTCTTCGCTCCCAACGCACAGTCTGACGCATAATCCAGTCCACCACATTTATGAATATCATCGTGGGTGATAATAGACAGGCAGCCCTGTCTTACTCCTGCATGCACTTCGAACGCCTCGCTGAGTTTCCCCTTATGGATCACCTGACTAACACGTAGCATTGCCATACAGCCAACTGTTGAATGAGGCTGTAAAGACTTGGGTACTGCACGCTGTAGTGATGAAGTAGTTTCCAAATAACTGTGATGCGCTGTCGAAGGCCTTTTCGAAGTTATTGAAGTTTAGGTAGACAGAGGTTTGACTAGCATTCTATGCTTTGTTCTGTGATGACGATACGTAGAGTTGCAATTTGATCAGTATATGACTTGCCTTTCCTGATTTCATCTTGACCAGTCGAAGATCTGTATCAAGTGCATCTTTTATTCTCTCCAAGATGATGCTACTCAGTATTATACTTGGCGTGGACAAGAGCATTATTCCACGCCAGATTTTACAGAGTGGGACCTAAGTCACCCTTCTTTGGCAGTTTGACGAGGTAGTCTTTCTTCCAGTTAGTAGCCACCTTCCCTTCCTTCCAAACCTTTTGCAATAGTGGCGCGAGAACATCTGCCGCAGTCTCTGGGTCCGTTTTCAGTGCTTCGGGAGGAATTCCGTCTGGTCCTGCTGCCTTCCTGGCAGGCGTTCAGTAGCTTGATCTCATTCAGGATTTCTGTTTTCGTTGGAGGATTGGTGTCCACTGACAGGATGTTCCATGCGCGTTGTTGTTGGTGGTGGTATTTCTGGGTGAGTTGCCGGTGGTGTTCGATTCAGCAGTCCTTTAAATTGACTAGCCCATTGTTTTATATGTTTCACCTCCTTGATAATCTTGTTTCTTTGAGCATCTCTTATTGATTTCATCATCTGTGTTTAACTCTTCCTGCATAGAGATTGGGTTATCTGATATAGTCTCTTGATGTCGCTTTTGTCTGCGGCCTGTTCTGCTTCAATTGTCGTCCAGAGTGTCGTAGAATTGCCGTTTGTCTTTTCTAGCACTCTTCTTCACTCCTCACCTTATTCAGTGCAGTGTACCTTGAACTCAGCTTCTCCTTCTCCTATTGTCCATCTTTGCATTGAGTCATCTTCTCTCTCAC